AGATGCCGTCATTGACAACATTGATGAGGAATACGATCGAATGATTCAGCACCTCCATGATTGTGCAAGGAATGCCAAGAGAGAGATAACCACAAAAAACCGTCTTTCTTCGAACACTCTTGAACTTATTCGCCAACGTGGCGTGGCACATGCCTCAGGCAACCACAAGCAAACGTCCGAACTGGCAAAACAGTACAGAAAAGCCATCAAGGATGACCTCAAAAACAGGAGAGCAGCAGTACTGGTAGATGCAGCAGAAGCTGGGAAAAACATTCGTAATGCCCGCCTGTCCTTCACCAACTACAAAACCAAGATGACTGCCCTCCGACATCATGATGGATCTATCACATCTTCCAGAAGGGCAATGGAGAAGATTATTCATGACTTCTACTCAGATCTCTTTAATAGCCACATCCACTTGCCCACATACCACATACCACATGATGGATATGTCGTTCCCAATGTTCTCCCTTCCGAAATCCAACATGCCATCTCGTCGGTAAAGAAACAAAAAGCACCTGGTCCAGACAAGATCAGACCTGAACACTTGAAGAACTTGCCATCAGTACTCATCAATACATTAGCTCGACTCTTCACACGCTACCTGTCTGAATGCAAGGTTCCATCCCAATGGAAAACCAGCAAGACTGTACTACTATACAAGAAAGGAGATATCCACGACATTGGCAACTATCGCCCAATCTGCCTATTGTCTGTCATCTACAAACTATTCACTCGAGTCATCCTGAATAGGATTAGCAGAACACTAGATGAAGGACAACCATGTGAACAAGCTGGATTCCGAAAAGGATTCAGTACCATTGACCATATCCACACAATAACCAAGCTCATTGAGGTATCTCGAGAGTTCAAGATGCCGCTCTGTCTAACGTTCATTGATTTAAAGAAGGCCTTTGATTCTGTTGAGATGGAAGCGGTCATGGAAGCCCTAGCCAATCAGGGCGTACAAACTCAATACATCAGGATCCTTCGTGAGCTCTATTGCGGATTCACTACCAAGATCTCACCATTCTACAAAGAAGTAATCATCCATATCAAGAGAGGGGTTCGGCAGGGCGATACCATTTCACCAAAACTCTTCAGTGCCACCCTCGAGAACATCATGCGACGACTAGAATGGGAAAACATGGGAGTGAAGATAGATGGTCGGCAACTACACCACCTCCGCTTTGCTGATGACATCGTTCTAATAACACCAAACATCAGCCAAGCGGCACAAATGCTTGCGGACTTTGACCGTGAGTGTGGAAAGGTCGGACTACAGCTGAATCTTACGAAGACAATGTTTATGAGAAACAGCCTTGTTCCTGACGCTCCATTCGCTCTCAACGGAACCACCATCTCCGAATGCAACAGTTATATATACTTAGGTCGAGGAATCAACATGATGAATGACCTGGCACCTGAGTTACGCAGGAGGAAGAGAGCGGCTTGGAATGCCTTCAAGAGCATTGAAGAAATAACTAAAAGGACAAAGAACCTCCAGCTACGAGCACATCTCTTTGATTCCACTATTCTTCCTGCATTAACATATGCCTCAGAGACCTGGACCCTACGAAAACAGGATGAGAACACTATTCGGGTCTCTCAAAGAGGAATCGAAAGAACTATGCTTGGAATATCACGATTCACTCAAATGAGAGATAGAATCCGGAGTTCTGATCTTCGTCAACGCTCAAGAATCAGGGACGCTGTCTCATTTGCCAAGACATCAAAAATCAGATGGGCTGGACATGTAATGAGGTTTACAGACAACCGCTGGACTAGAGCCATTACTGATTGGATTCCACGAGACATCAAAAGATCACGTGGACGCCCACCTATAAGATGGTCAGACTTCTTCGTCAAGACCCTAAATGATCGGTTTGAGGCTCTACATGTTCCTAAAACGAACAGATACCATTGGGCTACGCTAGCACGCAACCGGGATGAATGGAGACGTTACTGGCACCCGCTCGAATAAATCGATGAATAACAGGGATTAAGTGATTAAGTGATAAGTGATCTAAATCAGCATTCTTTGTAGCTCTCTTTCCTTAATCTTACCTAGCATATTTTTGCTTTCACTTTTGTTCATCTCAATCAGGCTTATGAAGAGTTTATTTACTACTGATCTTTGAAAACCTTCAGTTCTTACTTTTATTTTCTACTGAAGTAACATTGCATTAATATTCATAGTTGTCAGGTGTACATCATTGTAAGTGTATCCGTATAGACCACATTAAATTGGCCACTGAAAATCTAATTTCTTTATATACTCTACTGTTTCAGTTTTAGCTTTTAGCTAAACTTTACCTTTGACTACTATCGATTTCATCATTATTTGGGGTACCAAAGCACTTTCACATAATCTAGGACATAGAACTTCTCATCACTTACAATGTTTATTTTGTATTCATTAGAAGAGCACTTTTAGATTTATTTAGATGTAAATTTTGTTTCATTTCTCTTCTGCATTCATACAAGGAAAACATAAAATTGCTTGCAGAAATTCTAAATTGCCTTCTCATTGTGAATCCAGCCCTTTTCATCACTGTTCCTTTTTCTTTCATGTGCCAATTTCCCATACAATAGCATCCTTTTCATGACACCAGTTCTTAAATGCGTCATGAGAGGGGCCAGAGAGTACCATGGGTAAGGCATTTGCCTTTCATGTGGCCAACCTAAGTTTGATCTCTGGCACATGATCCCTGGAGCACAACAGGGTGATCCCTGACTCAAAAGGCAGGAGGAAGTCCTGAACACTGCAGGGTATGGTCTAACTAGTCTTTTAAATCACTATTGTTTCTAAAGTTTCCTTCAAAATGGCTGGTCCTTATTCTGCAGGTTTCAAGGTTCATTCTCTTGACACTGGAAGTGTCATTCAAAACATTTCCGACCTCTGCCAGTCCTCATATTCCATCCTCAAATGGTGCTTAAATGGGTTTTTGACTGACATGCCCAAGGATTTCAATCCTGCCACCAGGAATCAGAACCAAGTTTTTACATGCTCAGGTGATAACAACAAGGTCATACTCCTACAGCATCAACAGAAATTGAGGACATGTTCTGACTTCAGAAATGTCAAAATAAAATAGAAAGTGGGACTCAGAATCGATGAAATATGGTAATCCATTCTTCCTAGTTTATTTTGGTTTACTGAATTGTTTCTATCTTTAAAGAAGTATAATGCAATTACCTTCAATCTTTCTTCTCTAATAAAGACATTTAAGATTGAATTTTTCTGAGCCTAGCTTTATCATGGTTGGAAGGTTTTAGTATAAAGCATTATTTCCATTACTTTCACATAGTTTGATTCTTTTTTATTTTACAAAGTGTGAATACAATTTGCCTCACAATATCTCTCCCTTTAAAATAAAAGTAATAAGATACCTTTATGATAATGTACATAAACAACTTTATAATTTGCTATGGAAACTACAAAAATATATGTCCGATTTAAAGAAAACTAAACTAAGAGAAAATCCATTAGGAATTGAAATAAGTTTGCTAATTAGGTCATTCAGTTCCTTGTTGTCTTAATTTACTTTTCTTCTAATTATAAAAATTAGAAACTAAACATACAGGATTCTGGGGTTTATAGATAATATGTACTCAAATGGAATTTGGGGAATGAGGCATTTTAATGGTCACTGGGTACTCTGGGGTCAGAGGTCAGGATGCTGTGACTCCTAAGGGCTGTGGTCAAAAAAGGTCTAGAAGATTGATTTAGGGTTCTGGTCAGACTCAGCATGTGTGCCTGCTCTTCCTTTTGTGTGCTTGATACATGGAAGACTGCTTTTGTGAAAATGGTGCAAATTTGCACGTTTACTTTCGTATGTTATTGACTTTTAAAAGTTTGTTTCATTCAACCTCAAGGTAAAGTTCTCTAAATCCTTTCTTCTCTCTGGCCTTATTCCCTGTTCTCTTCAGTAACACTGATCTGAAAGAAATATTGATTCCACCTGTAGACCTTGGTTGGCACAGACTGCTTCATATTCCTGCCTTTTCTTTCTTCCTCATTTTATTCCCAAATAGGAGTCAAGGAACTTTCCCCTCCAGCTTAACCCAGTCTTTCTAAATGGCTGAGCTTGCCCCAGTGAAGCACTCTTGAGGTGCGGAAAACCCTCTGACTCGTCTCCATCTAGAAAATGTCTTCCCTCTGCAGCAGAGAGAAGTCTGGAGAGTCTGCCTGGAGTCCTAGAAAGGACCAGAAGTGCTGGAGGTTTCTGTTAACTCTGCCATTCTCTAACCACCAGAACCCAGATGCCCAGCCCCTCTGCAGACACCCAGGAAAGGCATCGTCATTTTTTATGGCCACTAGCCTTAAGTGGCCTGGAACAGGCTCCTCATGCCAACCCTGTGATCTTCACGACTGTTCCTGCTGTCCCTGAATTCTGCGAACTAGCTCCTTAACTCATATACTTGGTGTCTGATTAACCCCTTGTTCATCACAAGACCAAATGCATTTCTCATTGTTAAGAAAGCAAATGGTAGGGGCCGGAGTGATAGTACTTGCACATGGCAGACCTGAGTTCAATCCCCAGCATCCCATATGGTACCCCAAACACCTCCAGGAGTAATTTCTGAGTGCAGAGCCAGGAATAACCTCTGAGCATAGCTGGGTGTGACCCATAAAGCGAAAGAAAGAAAGAAAGAAAGAAAGAAAGAAAGAAAGAAAGAAAGAAAGAAAGAAAGAGAGAGAGAATGGTTTGCTTCTAGTTATGTTAAAGGGTGTCAAAATAAGAGTTTTGCTTACCTATCCATTTTTTTAACATCTCTAATTTTTCCTGGGTCTTCCTTAACGTATACCATTTTACCTCTGATGTTCTCATTTAAGCTTATTAAAGAGAATTAGTCGCAGGAATAAAATTTATAGATGCCTTGGCATATTCTCCTACTATTCCAGCTTATTCTAAGTAGCTAATTCTTCCCTTGCCTACACGATGAGACTCTAGACAAGTCTCATGGTTTGATGGTCTGCCATCACTAATTTTTTTTTAAATATGGAACGCTTCACGAATTTGCGTGTCATCCTTGCGCAGGGGCCATGCTAATCTTCTCTGTATCGTTCCAAGATCACTAATTTTTTTCAAATGTTACCAACTACTTCTCGTCATGAAACCAGTAATGAGTTCAATCATTAAACTATCCTTAGTCTGATGTGATTGTCACAAGACTTGAACCCCTTTCAAATTAAATTGCTCTCCTGCCCTTAAAAGGGAATGTGGTCCACCCCTGTCCTGTAAGTTTCTGTCCTCCTCAGTTCATTAGTCTCTGTGACACTGTTTGGGGATATGGTACAGGAAGAAGTGAAGGGCAAGAAGTTCTGACTAGACAGATCCAGCTAGATCCAGCTGGTACATCATGAAGACCAATTCAGCAGCCTGGCATCCCTCTGTAGGTTTTAATCAGATCAGAAATGTACCAGCATATCTCTGAGTCCTGGCCAAGGCACAAGCTGTCACTTTATAACCACAAGTCCCAGGAGCTTTGGGTGGCTGGTGCCCATTTATCAGAGCCACTTGTGATAGCACCAAGGTTACTTATGTCCCTAGTCTGGGGTGGAGATTCCCCGAAGTCTCAGCCATGGAGGCTCGTTGTATTGCATTGCTGAGCCTGTGTGAGCAGAAGCTGTAAGAAACCATGGTGAAACTCAGCCAGGGGTCCCTGGGTCCTTAGCTATTCTGTGCACACCTCTGAGCTTCCTGCTCTGAGAGAAGGTGAAGCCAGGACCTCACGCCATCCCAGAAGGAAGACAGTGGTACACCTGGGCTCCTGGGCTTATACCTGGCTGCTGTTGGCACCTCTCGGTGAGGTGGCTTGAGGCCAACATGCAGACACTCGCTTTAATTCTCATGCTCTTGTTCCCCCTTTCCAGCAACCCGGTGGATTTGTTGGCACTGACTGGAGGATTCCTGTGAAGATTTTTTTTGTCCTCGTACCCCTAAAGGCACTATCAGTGCCCTTGACACCAGCCCTTTTAAGATGAGCAGCTGCCTCTAGTGCTGAAGGGCGCTTTTGTGGGTTCACTAGCTGTGCCTGGGAATAAGGCCTGCCGGGACACAGGGGCACTCTGGGCTGGGTTCTTCCTTCCAAGACATCTTCGTAGGTCTAAGAAACCCTTGACCAAATCCTCACATGGGCAACAGCTGGTCAAGGAAACAAATTCTTTGCCTCAATCAGCCTGAGGAAGAACAGACAAATGGATAAAGAAACTATGGCACATCTATACAATGGAATACTATGCAGCTATTAGGGAAAATGGAGTCATGAAATTTGCTTATAAATGATTGGACATGGAGAATATCATGATGAGTGAAATGAGTCAGAAGAAGATGGACAGATATAGAATGACTGCATTCATTTGTGATATATGCAGAAGAATAATATCCAAGGCCAGGGAGCACAGGGGTGCTAGGATGACTGGTCAATGACTGGAATCTACCACAAGTATATGTTTGGGTGGTGGGTGCGCAGAGGGTAAGTAAGATAGAGAAATTACCAGCATGACACTAATAGTTGGAAGTGATCATGCCGGACAAGAACTGAGTAGGTAAAACGATATACATGATAACTAAAAGGTTATCTGCATTGCAAATCACAATGCCCAAAGGAGAGAGAGACATAGAGAAAATAATAAAAGTGTCTGACATAGAGGCAGACTTGGGGGGGGGTTGAAGGGATGGAAGGGAAACTGGGGGCACTGGTGCTGGAAACGTACACTGATGTACGAATGGGTGTTGGAACATTGTATGACTGAAATCCAATCATGAACAACTTTTTAAAGGTCTACATTACAGTGATTCAATAAAAAATCTTTTTAGAAAAACTTTCTAACTTATTATACTGAGATAAGTGAAAAATCCCATCTACCTGGTTCAAAACTCCAATCTTTTATGCCAACCTAAGGCTATGTCAATCAAAGATGTCGTTAGAACTTCTTTGCTTTTTTTGAATCTTCCTTTGGTCCTCGGAGACATGCCTTTTCCAGATGGGTATATGCCATGCCCTCCTCTTCTCACTTACTTTCCCCTCACTTTATCCAGGGATGAAAGTCAAAGAAATTCACTGGCTTTCCTTTCCTTGATTAAGTGGCAATGATTTTCGTTAGCTCCTAATTTTAGTTAGCCCTCTCAGTAAAGAATGCTATTTTCATCTTTGTCATATGATCATATTCATTTCTTGTAGTAACACGAGGTACAGTGAAGCACACACACATTCACACTCTCTCACACACACACAGAGTATTTTTCTCTGTAAGTTCTAGAAAAGGCATTTGAAAGTTCTTGCTTCTGGTAATCGACTCTGAACCTTGTGATTTCAACATTCTTATTTGCAAATAAGGGTATATCAGTCCCTATGTGACTCTTTCTCTGTGTCCTGTGGGTGTCATTGTGTTTATTGTGGCAGTAAACTGCCGTTTCTCACACCCCCTCTCACTCTGAGACTCGGCCACATGGCCAGCTGGTTAGAAGTCAAGGGCACAGTGTCTTTCCACGGTTTAATTTTTCTCATTCTGTCCACGTTTTCCCACAACTGCTCCACCACAGAAGCAAAGCAAGAAACAATCATGTGTACAACACAGTTTCCTTAACGAGAGAGCTATCCATATCCCCAGTAGGATTTATCTAACCAAAAGCAGGGAGGGGCCATCAGAGGGTCCCCTTTTAAATGATCTACACACATAAATCCCCCAGGAAGATAAAGTATCCCATCATGACACAAAAGAAACCAACCCCCCCCAAAAAATTCTTCAAGTGAAGACTTTACTTTTTTCTTTTTCTTAAACTCCACACTTTATATTAGCCCTTCATATTATTAGCTCCTCTTATTTCAGTAAGCTATTAAATCACTTTTTCTTTAATTATTGTTAAGAAACATTTTGTTTTATTTTTAGTAACTGTTAATTATCTAAGTAACAAAATAATTGTACAGTAATTTTTGGTTTTTATATGTAAATGAACTATAGAAGAGAAAGAAAAAGATAAATACCATTTATGGTTGTGTCAAAAATTCTACTAATACCTACAAATCAACAAAGAAAGTGAAAGACATAGCTAGTATAAATTAAAGGTTATGACTGAAAGAAAATAAGATAAAAGAAAATGGAAACATTTCTTGTTCTACTTGAGATGAAGGGCTGGAGCGATAGCACAACGGATAGGGTGTTTGCCTTCCACATGGCCAAACTGGGTTCAGTACCTCTGCCCTTCTCAGAGAACCTGGAAAGCTACTGAGAGTATCCCACCTACATTATATTGTTTTTCTTTTTCCCTAGATACTAACAAATATTAAGCAATTACGTTTACTTCTTGATTAATAAAAAAAGAAGTAAACTTAATTGTTTAATAAGACACATCATGAGACACTTAATACCCATCTTCCAACATTGCCACACCATATTTGATAGGGTTCAAATATGGTTTGAACCATGAGAACACCTACAAGGACAGTTAGAGGCCATCCTGAAAGCCTCTATCCCTCTCAGAGAGCATGACAAGCTACCAAGAATATCCCGCCCGCACAGCAGAGCCTGACAAGTTACTATCCATGGCATATTCGATATGCCAAAACCAATAAATACAATGGGTCTCATTCCCATGACCCTGAAAGAGCCACCAATACAGCAGTGTTAAGAAGGATAAGAAAGGAGAGGCTGGTAAAATCCCAAGGCCGAACTAGGCTGCCAAAACGAAGAAGGACAAAAATGACCGTCTGTACTTTCAATGCACGTACGCTGGCATCGGATGCATTCATCAAGGACCTGATGGTACAAGTGCAAAAAAACAAGTACGAAATCATTGGTCTGACCAAGACAGGAAGACATCAATCACATCACTCTGTTTTCGACACTGGAGAAGAACTCTTCCCCGGAACATGCGACAAAAGAGGCATCAGTGGTGTCAGTGTCCTTGTCAACACAAACTTGGCCATGAGCATTGATTCATTCTAATGCCTAACAACCCAAATCAGGCAATTACACTTAAATAGATGTGGCTCACTGCCAGCAGTTTCTATCTTTGTTGTCTATGCACCAACATCCAATTATGATGAAGGAGAAATTGAGAAGTTCTACATGGAGCTAGAGAAGTTCTATAAAGAAGATCACACCTTCTACAAGATCATGTTGGTGATTTTAATGCCAAGATAGGACTGAGAAGATCAGCTGAAGAACTCCACATCGGGACCCATGGCCTAGAATGGAATGAACAGGGTGAGAGACTGTCTGAGTTCATCATGTCAACCAAGACCATCCATGGTAACTCACAGTTCCAGAAAGCCAAATCTAAACGTTGGACATGGGAGTGGGAGTCTCCCGGTGGTTGGTTCCACAACGAAATTGACCACGTCATATTCAATCGATGGTTTTGCCTAACCTGTGTCGCTGTTGTCCCAAAATTCCAAATGGGATCGGACCACCGTCTCCTTCGTGCAAAATTCTACTTCACGAAGCAGGGAGAAAAGGCTGCAAAGTCTAAGAAGAGAACTCCCAGAACGACCACCAACTGGGAGCTCTTTACCACTATTGCGGCAACATGCCGTCATTGACAACATTGATGAGGAATATGATCAACTGATTCAGCACCTTCATGATTGTGCGATGAATGCCGAGAAAGATATAGCCACAAAAAGATGCCTGTCTTCAAATCTCTTGAGCTCATTCGCCAACATGGCTTGGAGCAAGCTTCAGGCAACCGCAAGCAAACGTCTGAGCTCGCAAAGCAGTGCAGAGAAGCAATAAAAGAAGACCTCAAAGAGAGAAGAGCAGCAGTGTTGGTCGATGTGGCAGAAGCTGGGAAAAGTTTTCGCAATGCCTGCCTGTCCTTCGCCAACTATAAGACCAAGAAGACTGCCCTCCGACGTCCTGATGGATCTATCACATCTTCCAGAAGGGCAATGGAGAAGATTATCCATGACTTCTACTCGGATCCCTTTGATGGCCACGTCCACCTGCCCTCCTACCAAATTCAGCAGGATGGATATGTCATTCCCAATGTTCTCCCTTCTGAAATCTGACATGCCATTTCATCAATAAAGAAGTGAACAACACCTGGCCCAGACAAGGTCAGACCCGAACACCTGAAGAACCTGCCACCAGTTCT